TTCCCCGAAATCGTGAGTTTCTTCACATCACTGTGTCTTTCTTCCTCCCAGCATGCCCCTCGCCGTTGCTCAGCCTTTTGTTGACTACATCCACTACGTCGAGTCCGCCATGGGCAAACGTACTTCCCCTTGCCGACTGCCCTACACAAATGCTGCCCTTCCTTCCCACGCCCTTTGCCCCATCGCAGACCGTTGCCAAACCCCGGCAAGATGACTGACAACGACCCCAAAAGCTACGCCTTTGACCTCGCCTCGGCGATCCCCTACTTTGCGCTGCCACCCACGAAACGCACCCTCTACTGGGACGACGGTGTCCACCTGACGCCCAGCGCCTACGAGTGGATGGGCGGCCACGTCGCCGACGCGCTCATCAAGATCATGATCGAGGAGGCGACTACGGCGGCGGCGGCTGCAGGCACAGGTGCCGGCGGCGCAGCAAGGGACGCGGCGTGCCAGGAGGATGCTGCGGTACGCCAAGGACGAGCTGCTATTTGAGGAGGAGACGGGGGATCCGAGCCTGATTCACGAGGGCTATGTCATTGTGCGGCTGAAAGACTTGAATTGAGCGGCTGCTGCCTTTTTTTCCTGTTCCTGCCACTTCTTCTCTCTGAACGACTCGCTACCCGGTCATGCTGTGTGTGTGTGTGTGTGCCGTTGTTTCGATCGTGGCCCGGTTTTCAATGTACACATGGCCGTCTAGACGTGAACCAGGCCAGGCCTAATGATACTTTTGTTTTCTTTTCTCCTCGTCCGTGATGCGCCGAACACCGACCCCCTGAACGCCTGTGTGCCGATTTTCCCTATGATGATGCGTTGACATGGTTTCGCCTGCTTCACACGAGGAGGTTCTTCGCCACAAAGTCCTGTTTCATAAGAGGTGATTAGATTCCTCCGCCGGCAGCACAGACACGCAAACAGGGCACTCACGGGAAACTCCTTCTGCAGGGCATTGGTGACGTTCTCGACCTCCTCGGCGACGCTCTGAATGTTGGCGTCCCACTGGCGCATCTCCTTGCCGACGACGACCTCGGCGCGGCCGCTGCCCTTTTGGCCAGAGGCCTCGCCGCGCTCGAACCAGATGATGCGGTCCATCTGGTCGATGCGGCCGACGAGGCGGCCCTGCTCAATCATGCGGGCCGTCGTCTCCTCGGCCTTGTCGGCGTCGAGGCCGAGCAGGACGCCGAGGGCGTCCGATGCCAATGTTGGCGTAGAGGCGCGAGGCGCCGAGGAGGTTGTGCTCGACGACGGCGCGCGCGAGGACGGTGGAGCCGTCGGCCGTGGTGGCGAGCTGGTGGGGCTGCAGGCCCTGGGCGAACTTGTCGACCTCGTCGCGGCTCAGCAGGCGGTCAAAGTGAATCTTCTCGAGGATGCCGAACTCGTCGAGGGCGGCGGCGCGTTCGTCCTTGTAGAGGCGGCCGAGGGTGCGGGCGCGCATGGGGCCGGCGGGGGCGAGGATGGCGCACTTGACGGCCATGCTCAGGGTGTGCAGGCGCTCGTCCTCGGCGATGGCGGGCGACAGGCTGATGTCGTGGTAGCGGGCGCCGGCGTTGAGGAAGTCGCGCTTGGCGTCGTAGACGCGGGCCTGGCTGAGACGGAAGTGGAGGTCGAGGTCGCGGGCGTCGTGGGGCTTCTCGTCGGCGACGTCGTGCATGATGTTCTTGAGCTTGTTGACGTACGTCTCGGCGGCCGTCGTGTCGTCGACCTCGAGGTAGTTGCGGGCGATGCGGATCCAGACGCGGGCGCGGTCGGCGGGCGAGACTTTGCGTTGGGAGGAGTCGAGAGGCATCTCGGCGAGGCACTTGGCTGCTTCTAGGAAATCTTCGTTGGCCTCGTGGGCCGTGGCCATGAGGTCGCGGATCTGGGCCGTCTCGAGGAGGTAGGATGAGGGCTGCTGGGTTGTGAAGAGGT